TTTTTTTTTTTGGAGGGAGGGAAGTTGGAAAAGGCTGTGAAGATAACATGAAACTGACCGACCCATCTGACCTTCATTTCACTAAACCTACATCTCTGGTGAGGACCAGGGGCCTCGTGCACGCACAACTACGTGGCGTACATCCTTTTTTAAACGATTGTGGAAATGTGTACAGCTGTACGCCAGCTTCATGGCTGGCATGTGCACGTTTCGATGGTTAATGGTCCATTGATGACACGTAGAGGTGTCACTGGAAAACTGTAAATGATGTGACAACTATTATTGTGCACACTGGACCCACATGATGAACAATTAATACGTCCGCATGCATGAAACTAGACGGGTGGATATAAAAGCTGCACAAAGTGATGCAGAAAATACCTTTAACATCAACAGCTTTATCCTTATTTGAGAATATAAATGGTGAACTATGGACAGAGAGTATATTTAGAGACAGAAGATTTTCTGGTGAACGATGATGATTTGCTCATCAGCCATTTTAGGATTCTAACAACAGTGCTTTTTGGAACCGTTCTTGAAGCTGCGGACGGTTTTGTAGAGCAACACAGCGAGGAGCCGTGCGCTGCCCGTGCACATACAACTGATGAGCGCACTGGAGTTCTTAGCAACAGAGTCATTCCAGAGGGAGCTGGCAGACTGATCGGGACTGTGTCAGTCGACCCTAAGCCAAGCCATGGCAGCTGTGTGGGACAGAATGATCCAGATGTCAACAGGTACGTCATATTCCCTGTGATGTGGTTGAACAAGTCATTACAGCACAAGTGGCTGCGACACACGGTTTTCCTCATCTAATCAGAGCTATGGACTGCACACATTGCTGTAAAAGCTCCATCATAGGTTGAATGTGTTTATGTTAACAGGAAGCATTTTCATTCAGTGTGCAAATTATATGTGATGTGCAAACTAACCAACTAACCAACATGGTGGTGAGGTGTCGTGGTTCAACGCACGATTCATTCTCATGAACTGCATGGATGGGAGGCTTGGTGATCAAATTCATTTAATCATCCTAATATGATCATTTCTTCTTCATTTCTGCAGGTGTGCTGCTCTGACCCCACAGCATTAACACACTGTCACACTCCTCGTGCGCTCAGTGCTAGGTCTGTCGCAATAAACAATAAATCAATTAATCGCATGATAAATGAAAATGATCAACATCATTTTCATTTATCGGCTTTATCGTTTCTTCATGTCTCTCTCTTTCTACTGAAGACACTGGATGATAAAAGGCTCAACTCCGGTGCTCTTCACTGACCCCTCCCTTTCTCTTTCTCAGGCCGACCTCGAGAAAAAAAGCTTTGTGTGAAAAATGCTATGCTAAAGAGCTCAAACAACACCGAGTGTCCGCCATTTTGAGAATCAAAGAGAGACCGCCCATGTCATGTCAAGGGGCCTCACTCCCATTTTTCTTAAAGAGACATGCTGCTCACTCCCTCACCATCCATCCGTCAGTTCAGTCTTATACTGCCATCCAGTGGTCAAAAAAGGTACTACACTCAAAACAAATTAACCAAAATTTCTTCTTTAATTTGACAATAATTACTAATTATAGTAAAATTTCAAACAATATTATCATTTATCGCAGTAATTTCTGAGACAATTAATCTCCCAGCAAAATTTGTTATTGTGACAGGCCTACTCGGGGCTAAAGCCAGATGACTGCATGCCAAACTGATGTTTTTACGAGCCTCCACCTCGTTCAGAAGAATCTCCAGCTCACACTGTCCCGCCTGTGGACAGTCTTTAAGACGTTGTCCTCGGGTGCAGGTTTAAATCTATTAATGCATTTATATGGAGGCATGTCCAGGGAGGAGTCAGGTGTTCCTTCATGTGCGCTCAGTTCCATGATGACTGGGATGTAAAGGAAGAGTGCTTACACACGGTTCCATACATCTGGATGTATTTGTGCGTACTCTGTTTCGTAGATTTAAGCGGACGCCATGTTTCTGTAGGAAATCCAAGCAAGTCTTTGTACACGAGGCCCTGGGTTTTGGACCTCGTTAGGATTTTGGTCCCCCCACTGACTGTGTTGTCAGACCACAGTCCCCTTAATGCAGTTCAGAGAAGTACACACATGTTCATGTTACCCCCCCCCCCCCCACACACACACACACACACACATTCATGGTAACAAAACAAACAGTCTGAGAACACACTGTGAGCAGAACTGTCTTTACGTCCGTACCTTGAGCCAAGATGTTCCACTGCATGACCCGGATGGTCGGGTTGTGCTTATGACTGTAAGGAACCGTGCCCCTGGGATGGACCAGATCCCGGTGTGGTCGGGCCGGACGTCTCTGCAGAACCTCCTTGCACTCTGTGAGGAGTAGGTCTGGGTCCACCTCTGTCGGATCCTCTTCAGAGTCCTGGTCTGGGCTCTCCTTGAAATAGGGGTCAAGTTGAGCCAGGGGGGCATTGTTCAGCGCTTGGGTCATGGTTCCGAAAAACCTGCTGCCGCCGCCGCCCATGGCACAAACTGGTGGGGAGGACACAAACAGGACAGGGGAGGTCAGTACGCATGAAGGTTTGGATCAGAACCAGGCAAACCCAACAAATTATTAAAAATGATAATTAATCCCTTTCAACCGAGATGATGAAAAAAAACATTTTATAAAACAAATGATTTAAAATGAACTCAGAGTACTGAACAACAAATATTACAAAGTAACATTTCATTCATCTCATTGATAATTCATCAGTTCATCCATTTACTTTAACCGTTTGTCTGTTCCGGGTGTGAGGAGCAAGAGTCTTTCTCCAGCTGTCACAGTGTGAACGGTGCAGGACTCGTGCACAGGTCAATAACACAAGTACAGCAGAATAAATTAATAAAACTTGGTGCGGTTAGTTCGGTCCATGACATCCATGACCAAACAGAACTGAGCTCCTCCACAGTTCAGAAAATCCTGATGCTGCCCAACTCAGTGGATCCATGTCTTATTGGTACGGTTGAATATCCATTAGACCTACGACGTCAAATTCCACAAAGTTCTCTGCTTCCACCTTCACTGATACTCAGAGGGACAGTAACTCGAGTCTTTGTGCTACAGAGTTATCACAACTGGACGTGGCACCAATGATGTCATCAACAAAGGATGTTACATCTGACCACCCTGTCCCCGTGGACTATGATGTTTGCAGATGACACTGTGATCTGCGGTGAGAACAGGGAACAGGTGGAAGAGAACTTGGAGAGGTGGAGGCATGCACTTGAAAGAAGAGGAATGAAAGTCAGCGTAGTAAGACAGAGTCCATGTGTGTGAATGAGAGGGAGGAGGTGGAACAGTGAGGCTACAAGGAGCAGAGGTCACAAAGGTGCAGGACTTCAAGTACTTTGGGTCCACTGTCCAGGAAAATGGGGAATGTTGTAAAGTGGTGAAGAAGAGAGTCCAGGCAGGATGGAGTGGATGGAGAAAAGTTTCAGGGGTGATTTGTGACAAAAGAATGTCAGCAAAGGTCAAAAGAAAAGTTTACAAGACAGTGGAGAGACTAGCTATGTTGTATGGTCTGGAGACAGAGACATAGACAAGAAGACAGGAGACAGAACTGGAAGTGGCAGAAATGAAGATGTTGAGGTTCTCCTTAGGAGAGACAAGGATGAAGACGATTAGGACTGAGATCATCAGAAGTACAACACAGGTAGAACATCTGGGAGATAAGAGAGGCCAGACTGAGATGGTTTGACATGTCCAGAGGGGGGACAGTGGTTTGGACATGTCCAGAGGAGGGACAGTGGGTCTATTGGTAGAAGGATGTTAGAAATGCAGCTGCCAGGAAAAAGACAAAGAGGAGATAGAGCAGTCGTCCTCCAATGCAAGAGTTGGGGGTTCAAATCCACCAGCAGTCACATGCTGAAGTGTCCCTGGGCAAGACACTGAACCTCTCATAGCCTCCGATGTGTGTCCCATCAGTGTATGAATGTGATTTAAAGCACTGATTAGTCTCTTTAGAATGATTTGTTCAATTAGCTTTGTAGAGATCTAGTATAGAGCTGTATGAATGGGTCATTGAGGACACAGATCGTTGTAAAGAGCTTTGAGTGTCTTGAAATAAGAGAAAGGAACTATATAAGTACAGTCCATTTACCATTTACCATAAATGGATGTAGTTAGAGTGAGGACAGAGTGAGGTGGAGGAGGATGACTCGCCGTGGAGACCCCTGAGGAGGGAAAAGCCGAAAGAAGAAGATTTAGCAAATGAAGTCCTGAAAATTAATTTTTATGTTTTATTTCATTTATCTTCTAAATAAATTTATGCCTCACGATAAACTGGTAGAATTACTTTGTTGACACCCCCCCCCCCCCCCCCACGCCCTTAAAATGCAGAGCATGCTGTTCAGGACAGAGCTTCCAGCTGACTATGATCCAAACAAGAAGACAACTGTGAGCTGAAGCAACGATCTAACTCCTTCCAGAAGTTCACTCCATCAGATGAAGCTCACAGCAAAGAAAACGTCTTGAAGACAGGAAATGAAGAAACGTCCATCGTCTTTCACTCACACACATAAACTAAGATCATCTCATGATGAGGACATGAAGTTAGAGACGTTCTGGTCCCTCCCTTTAAAAACCCACTATGAGCGATCTCACATAATGTGGATAAACCTCACGTCGTTGGTTAGAGCCCACACGACTCTCAGCTACTACCACCTCATGTTTAGACTCAATATCTGCACCTAAAGAACACAGAGTACACAAACATACTCACACTAACTGTGATGTCCACCCAGAACCCCGTGGTCCTCTAGTCTGGTCCCTGTGGTCCTCTAGTCTGGTCCCCGTGGTCCTCTAGTCTGGTCCCCGTGGTCCTCTAGTCCGGTCCCCGTGGTCCTCTAGTCTGGTCCCTGTGGTCCTCTAGTCTGGTCCCTGAGGTCCTCTAGTCTGGTCCCCGTGGTCCTCTAGTCCGGTCCCCGTGATCCTCTAGTCCGGTCCCCGTGGTCCTCTAGTCCGGTCCCCGTGGTCC